ATTGTACTTAATTTAAGCTAGTGATTCTGATTGTGTTTAGGCCAGCAGAGAAGGTCTTGCTGGTCCTGACGGCCCGGCACTGATATGTAGAATAAAAGCTTCTTTGTATGTAAATGTAAAAGTGAGTGTGCGCTTTTTCAACAATGGATTAGTGAAATATAAGTACTAACAGTCAACTCAGAATCATGAAAAAAACTGATTTGGCCTCTCATAAGTTACATAAGGCCCAATTTTTAAAAAAATCCCCATTTCAACAGTCATTTATCTGTACCCTAACTTGAGCAGGATTTTTTCAAGGTTTCCCACAGGAGTTGAATTTGGACATTTTAATACATTATAATACACCTTTACAAACATTTTGGTGAAGAAAATGTTTGATAACGATTTAGTTTGCAGATTTTCACATCTTTCCCTTACTAAGAAAATATTTCATTAGGATTATTTCAGAATATTTTTTAAGTAGTTTTTTGTTGATTATCCTATTTTTTATGATCTTTTTAATCATTTGGACATTTTTTTCCCTGTAATTTCTGGCATGGAGTTAAAACTTAATGATGGTTATGGTTAACTTGGCATCATTTTTTTAATTTTTATTGTAAATTTTTGCAATTTTTATGTCTTTTGGTGGAGATTCAACACAATCTGCTTGCTTCCTTAGATTGATTGTTTTTTGTGTACAATGCCCTAAGAAGACGACTGTGCTTTAATAAATAAACTGAATTGAATTTCAATTTACAAACACACTTGTAATGTTATTGGGCCTCATGCAAGAACATTTTCGTATTCTTATCCTAAATTTCTCTTACTTTTGTTCGTACGAAGGGTTCGTACAAACATGCCATGTCAGAATCAACAAACTCTTCTGTCTTCAGGAAAAGTGTGTAAATGAGCTGCGTAAACTGATGAATGCGTATTCAGGTGCTTGTGCACGAGGAGAGGTGATTAGCATAATTACCACCCCAAAAACACCCTATAAGGATATACGTTCCTGCCCCACATACCAGTCCATTCATAAATTACATCTCAAAGTAAAGAAGAACTTTACGAGTTCAGAGATTGAAGTCCTGCTGTCAGAGATCCAGAAAAGAAAATCTGTCATTTTTAGCAGCGTCAGCTGTGGAATAAAAGGTTTGCTAAAGCCAAGGAATGAAATGTGCTGTTAATGTTGAGTCTCCCGTGGGTCGTATACAATCACAGAAATTAAAATCTAAATCATATTCATCTCTGTCTAGTCCTGCTCTGGTTTTCCTTTGGTCAAATATTTTTAATTGAAGTGTAAACAACTGTGTTATATAGTTTTCATTTATTCAGAAGAAGAAGAGCAGTCGCGCACTCCTGGTCCCCCCGGCCGTCGCAAGTGGTGTCAGATGCGGTTCTGAAGAAAGCATTTTAAAATTACATAACACTATTACATTTAAAATTCTAATTCAAACAGAATAACCTATTGTCAACATAATTATGTAGTGTGATTTATTTTCAACTCGAAAGATCTTCAAACTAATGAAATATAAAGTTATTAATGAGAAAATCCATCTGGATAACAGCAGACTGACTGCTCATAAAATATACAACAGGTCTGGACCACGTGGATTTTGTTCGTGTTGGAAAAAAATCTCAGAATACGAGAAAATTGTTAACTTAAATGCCAGAAATTCTTCTAAATCACCGTACGCACAACTTCAGAACAAATCTGTGCATACGAATGGTTCTTGCATGAGGCCCATTGTTCTTAATATCAAGAATGTTAAATGTAATATGTAATATTATGGTTTTATTCTGCTGAGTTAAACCTAAAAATTATAACGTCTTAAGGTTCAGGTAAAATATTTTTGTACTTATTTGTTCTTGTATCTGATTTTGCTTAGGTGTGTCCATGCCAACAGAGGAGACTGTGCAACACACACTTAGTATGCTGGTCCATGAGCGAAAGATCTACCCAACTTCTGATGGCTATTTCATTGTTACACCTCAAACCTATTTCATTACTCCAAGTTTAATCCGAACTAGCTCCAAGTGGTACCACTTAGATGAGCGATCAGCTGACCGACACCAGCATCAGAAACAACAGCAGCATCAACAAACTCAATGCACCTCCCCTCTTTCTGGCACCATAACCCTATCTGCCTCTGGGGTGCTGCGAGATCGAACACTCCCAAAGCCCACACAGAATCACTCTGCAGTAGGTGAAGATTGCCTTCATATCAGCAGTTATCGTGCAGATGACCCACCTAGCCACCACACTACTCTGCAGCGTCGATCTCCTAAAGACCACAAGGAGGTGTTCTCATCACAGCACTCCTCGCAAACACCTCCTCAGCAAACAGGAGGCAGCACAGAAAAGAGTCGCAGTACTCTTGGGTTTTCATTTAAGGTGGACACACTCACAAAGCACAGAGGAGGTGTTGTTGGGGGAGGAGGAATCGCTGACCTAGAAAAACAAGCAGTTGGAAGTGGTACAGGAGGGCGGAAGTTTGGTTTGAAGTTGTTTCGTTTGAGTTTTAAAAAGGATAAGGCAAAGCAGCTGGCTACCTTCTCTGCACAGTTCCCCCCTGAGGAATGGCCACTCCGTGACGAAGAAGAACCTTGCCACCTTCCGCGACATGTAGAAATGGAGATTATACGTAGAATTAACCCTGACCTTACAGTGGAAAACCTTGCCCGGCATACAGCAGTCATGAAGCGACTTGAAGAAGAGCGGGCTCAGAGGAGCAAAGCGTCATCAGCTAATCAGAGCTCCAGGAGTAGAAGAAGTGGGGGCAAGCACAGAAGGCAATCTCAACCCAAACCTAGCCGCTCACAGAGCAAGTCAAGGGCATTCTGCTTTGAGCCAAGTGATGGTTCTCACTTGGAGCAGGTTGACAGAGACTTCAGAGGTTACTCATCTTCGCTGGTTCGATTACCAAGAGAACAAGCCTTGGCCATGGAGAGGCAAAGGGCTAGGCTTCATCTTGCACATAGCATTCCCAATATTCTTGACTTTTCTCATCTGCCGGTCACACCAGAGTGGGATGTATCTGGAGAGCTTGCTAAGCGACGCATGGAAATGCCTTTCCCTGAGCCAAGCCATGGTCCATCAGTGCATCATTCCAAAGTCCACCGCTCACACTCCCACACCCAGGAGAGAAAGTCTAGAAACGAACGCAGTAGCAAGGCCAAGGAACGTTCTAGATCAATGGACAACTCTAAAGGATCAATTGATCCTGCATTGATTAAACCACCTGACTATTATGATGATTGCACTCCTTACTACAATGATGAGGGCACTCAGCGAGCCAATCCAAACTCCTCTCACTACCCTCTTGCAACCGCTCTTACATCTAAGGTGCCAGCAGATTCTCTTGGTTTAGATGGTGGCAGACACTTTGAAAAGAAAACGAGCAAGGACAGCTTGCCAGCCTACTCACCTAAGCCAATGCTTACCTCCAACCCACCAGATGATTATTTCCTGTGCTCTGGTAACTCTGAGGTTACTCACACAAAAGCAAACCTACTTGGAACTCTTAGCAAAACCAGCCATGAAGGATTAAAACCAAGCATTACCGACAGGCAAACAGACAGACATATATCCCACCCAGTAGAAAATAATGAGGACCTACCAAAGGTAGGGCATAAAGGTAGCAGCCTGCCTCTAATTCCTCTCGTTTTACCTGACCCTTCCATTTCTAATGGACAACCTCCACACATGACTTCAACTGGACGGGAGAAACACAAGGAGCTCTTTAATAAAGACACACTGTTCAAACCTCCCCCCAGCATGTATTTATCTGGCTGTAGTTCCTTGAGAAAACCCACAATTACTGCCTCAATTACGCTTTCATCATCCTGTGATGCTCTCGACTCGCACAAAGGCTTTGATGCTCCCAAACCACTAGTGGCAACACCATCTGCTTCTGCCCAGGGGATTGAGCCAACAACCAGTGCTGCAGTGGCCTCTTTTGACTATTACAATGTCTCAGATGATGATGAACTTGAGGATGGGGATGCAAAAGGTAGAGATGAGGAAGAAAAAACAAAAGGAAGTGTTGCTGGACTAGAAAGACGTGAAGCGGGGACTATGCAATGGTTGTTGGAGAGAGAAAAGACAAGGGATCTGCATAGGAGGTTTGAAAGAACCCTTACCTTCTCTGGTCCTAAAGAAAACCACCCTGAGCCACATCAGACCCAGCAATCAGCCCACTCTGGTAGACTAGACAGTATGGACTCCAGTTCGGTCACAGTTGACAGTGGATTCAACTCACCCCGGTGAGTGTGACTACAAATGTGCTGTCATACTATGCATTTTTTCTGTTCTAAATATTTGTGTATACAAGGATCAACATAATAAGTGGTTTCCGGTTGTATGAGACAACCAATTTTCATCTCTGACAACTTAACCTCAGCTCAAGGTTGTCCAGTGGTCAACCAAATAAAATAGTGTTTTCCCCTACCATTATCCAAGGGGGACTGCCCACTCTGACAAAAGAATTATGGCATATAACACATAAATAAACGTCTGCACATGTCCAAACATGACCAGTTTTGTGCCTCAAGTAGACGTCAAAACTTATACATCATTATCCCCTCTTCCCGGTACATTTGTATCTAAAATTTTACTTTGTGTTAAATGTTTAGGTGTTCGGACTACCATCATTACCATACACACATGTCTGACTTGCACATGCAACCAAACTCCCGCACAACCTGTTTGAATCACTCATGAGTTAGCAGTGTTGTCTGTGATGGTCTGACATGTGCTTGCTGTTTATCAGAAATATTGTTTTTTTAATTCTAAAACAGATTGTAGTAAAATAAACAGATTTTGTTTGTGCGCTAAGCTTGTTTATATTTGGAATAGGGCTGCACCTAATGACTATTTTGATAGTCAACTAATCTGTGATTATGTTTTCAATTAGTCGATTATTACAGCATTAGTAATAGTATGTGTATTTTTTTTAAATAAAAGCAGAAATTATGGTTTTAAAATTGAGTTTCATTTCTGTAATAAACCCCTCAAGGGTTTATTCAGAATCTTTTACGGCCCTATCCTGGTGTGTCGTGAAATTAATAAAAATTTGAGTTACATGTACTAAAAAAGTTTTAGTACATGTAACCTTTTAACTTTAATTTTTTTAGTAAAAAAATTTGAGTTACAAGTACTAAAAATCAAATCCTGTGTTTTTATAACTTTAATATATGCAATTATGTGTTTGTCACAGAGTTTTTAAAACTACTCTTTTCATTCTAATAGTCACTAGCTGAAATTGTAACCTCTTTTGGTGTATCACTTTACATTTTATGTATTTTTCTTTGCAGAACAAGAGAGAGTTTAGCATCAAACACGTCTTCAATTGTGGAACGAAATCGACGTCAAAATTTGGCACTGAGCCCTGGCCATCTTGGACTCACCAGTGGAAGCGGGCCTCCTTTTTCTTTCCATACCATTTCGGAACCAACCAGCACCCAACCAGAGAAAATCCAAAAGCCCAGTACTTGCCTAGCTTCAATTACAAGTGTCTAGTGTTGGAGCTGTGTGATAGTTGGAGTGCACAGCTGATAAAACGTCCAGGAGCTCCAAGTTCCATCACCTTGAAACAAACTGAAACAGAGGGGGGCTGTGATGTTTCCTCTGACATGACACTACCTACATCAATAAGAAACTGCTGTATTTCTCAGTCTGTCTCTTTCTCTAGTTTATATAAAACATATATACATAAACACACACAAACACATCAAACCACTGGGCTAGACTCTGACCATGTCATTCAACAATCTGTAGTTTACACACTACTTATCTTGCATTGTTTTTTTAAGTGTGTGTGTGTGTGCGTGTGCGCGTGTGTGTGTGTGTGTGTGTGTGAATTGCTATTGTGTGTTATCAGTTATCTCAGGTTATTTTATTTCCAGTCCCATTTGAATTGCTCTATATCAGTGTATTTCCTTTTGTTGGTGCTACACACTGAGGAGCTGCAGCTCTGCATCCTTTTCTTACTGATGGTACACATCCTAGAACCCCAATTCCCAAACTGTTAAGATGTGTAAAATATGAATAAAGTAGAATGTAAGGATTTGCAAATCTCATAAACCCACATTTGATTCACAATATAACATTATAAACATATCAAATGTTTAAGCAGGTAATTGCAAAGAAATATGGCTCTTTTAAATTTGATGGTATTAACACATCTCCAAACGTTTTGACAGGGCCATATTTATCACTGAAGCATCTCCCTTTCTTGTAACAATAGTTTGTAAACATCTAAAAACCTGAGAAGACCTTTTTTTCAGGGGAAATACAGTATATTTGCCACAGCTTTTAGATTTATATTAATTTAATATATAAATGTGGTCACTCACCACACTAACAATAGCCTATATCTTGTGCTAAATAAAAAAATGGATGAAATGATGCTGCAACAGTTTGTGTTTCTGTCATCTGTCACAGGACCCCTTAATGGGGGTAGCGCAAGGATGACAGTAATTTTAATACCCACAGAATTGTATTTGGTCGTTGCGTTTAGCCACTTCAGTACTGTCCCTCAGGGACCCATTCAGCTTGAGGCACCTACCTACCTGCCTGTCGTATCGCGATTGCTCTGATTGCAGGCTGCAATTAAATAAAGACCATCTTGTACAGGAAACCTCAATTTGGCTTAAAATACAGACATACTCAAATTTGGTGAGACTAGCACCTTCCTGTCTCAAGTTATGACTAATAATTTATTTTCATAATAAAAAATGGCAATCTTATTCCAGGCGGGTTAAGGCTGTTTCTACTGAACCAAATTGTTACACATCTCTCGTGCTGCATTCAAATTTGTTGCGGCTAGCACCTTTCTATTTGTATTTTAAAATGTTAATCGTTTCCCATGCAGGTTAGGACTGTTTAGATGTAGTCAAATTATTACATATCCCTCCACATTTAAGGCGTTCAAATTTCATGCGGTTAGCACCTTCCTGTCTTGAATTATGACTAAACTGTTTATATTTAAAAATAATGGTGTTTCCTGGTCATTGCAACCAAGCTACACATCCCCCCAGCTGCCCAGTATTCATCCAGCCAAATCATTATGGCTTCAAACTCCATCCAACCACTCATGCCTTAAACTCCACCCACAAAAATTAAACAGACCCATCATGTCTTTGAGAAACTCCTCCCACAAAACAAGAGACTGCACAGACCCCCTTTTTACGGGGCTTTCTTGCAGTCTTTAATAGTTTAGATACCACTACATCTTTTTTGTGTAAACCTTAGATAAAAATGCGTAAAGCAGACAGGACACTATGATACCTGCCATCAAATTCAAACTCATGTTTTCCTAAACATCATATAGTTACTTTGTTTAAACATTTTACGTATTACTAAGTTTCATTAAGAATAAAATATAGGTTTGTGAAGTTGAAATTTTATTTACATTTCACATAAAGTTCCAATCTTTTTGGAAATGGGGTTACTAATTAGTTCCTTCAGTTCTGTCTAAACTTTGCCACTTCCAGATAGCCTTTGAGGCATTTATTTATTTATTTAACATTTGTTTTGTCCCCCCCAAGTTATTTTTTAGAATTTTGTCTATTGTGACATTAACAGTGGTCCAAAAAGCATCTTATATCCTTATATGGGTGTTCATTTTATTACTCACTGTTACACTTTGGCCCAGATTTACTAATAAATTGCACCAAAACAGAAAGTGCAGTGACAGGTTTGCAGCGCTAAGGTGTGGACCATCATTGTTGTCAGCTGTCCATCTTGTATTTGTAGCTATTTTCCTTTTTAAAGTCTAAAGTTTTGGGAAACAAATATTTAAATAAACATTTAATGTGATTTACTAAGATTTTCTTTGTGCAGTCCAGTTATTTCCCTGTCAATGACTGAATGAGCACTGAAGAATATTGGGCCTCATGCAAGAACATGTTCGTATTCTTATCCTAAATTTCTCTTACTTCTGTTCGTACAAAGGGTTCGTACGAACATGTCACGTCAGATTCAACAAACTCTTCTATCTTCAGGAAAAGTGTGTAAATGAGCTGCGTAAATTCCACCTGTTCGTATCCAGCTGCTCGTGCACGCTAGAGGAGATTAGCATAATTACCACCCCAAAAACACCATATAAGGCTATGTTTCCTGCCTCAGATATCAGGAAGTGTCCATTCATGAAAATGACAGCGAAAACTAAAAATAAAAACTTTACGAGTTCAGAGATTGAAGTCCGTCTGTCAGAGATCCAGAAAAGAAAATCTGTCATTTTTAGCAGGTCAGCTGTGGAATAAAAAGAGCTGCTAAAAGTATAAACAACTGTGTTAAATCATTTTCATTTATTCAGAAGCTGCAGCGCTGCGCACCGTATACCCGCCGCGAGCGCGGTCTCAAGTGGTCTCAGGTGGTCTCAGTTGCGGTTCTGAAATAAGCATTTTAAAATATTTTCAAAATAAGTCTGACACTTTGGAGAAAATACAGGACTCGCTGGAGGGATTATGTATCCCCTCTGGTCTGGGAACGTCTCGGACTCCCCCAGGACGAGCTGGAAAGTCTCGCTGGGGAGAGGGAAGTCTGGGTCTCTCTGCTGCCCCCGCGACCCTATCCCAGATAAGCCGGCTGGACGGACAATTTATTGTTAGTCTAAATTATTACATTTAAAATTATAACTCTARTTCAAGCAGAATAGCCTATTGTTAACATAATTATGGAGTGTGATTTATTTTCAACTCAAAATATCTTCAAACTAATGAAATATAAAGTTATTAGTGAAGAAAACCCGTCTGGATAACAGCAGACTGACTGCTGGTAAAATATACGACAGGTCTGGACCACTCSTGAATTTTGTTCGTATCTGAAAAAAATCTTAGAATACGAAAACATTGGTGAATGCCACAAATTCTCCTAAATCACTCGTACGCACAACTTAAGAACAAATCTGTGCGTACGAACGGTTCTTGCATGAGGCCCGTTGTTTTAAAAACTTGGAGTTAGAGTTAGTTGACTGTGACAGCCAACTTGCATCAGGTTAACACTAAGAGTTAATCAGTTGTAGAGGTTTATCCAAGTATTATTTTTGATTGTTTTAATAATAATTTGTCCAATGGTTTTTGAGATCTTTTGGTAGAAGACACACAAAAACATGGTTATAAACTTTATCCCCTTTGCCTTTCAAAAGTACAATAAGGATATGAGCCTCAAAGGAGGAGTAGAAGCACATCCACTTCCATCAAAACTAGTCTCAGACTTTAAACCTTTCAGTCAATAATGTGGCCTTTAGGAGTGTACCGATTGCAGTTTTCTGGCCAATCTCATGGTAAATGGCTTGAACTTATATAGAGCTTAAATAAATGAGACTATGTATCTCAGCTGGCCTGTGAACGCCTTGAAGTCCTCCCAGAAGAGCTGGAAGAGGTGGCTGGAGAAAGGAAGGTCTGGACTTCCCTGCTCAAGCTGCTGCCCCCGCGACCCGATTTCGGATAAATCGTAAGATAATGGACGGATAATTAAAATGATAGTGCTCCATATTTATCTATAAATTATAATTTCTTAAATTATACTTGGGTAAAAAAATTGTAATGTATCTCTACAACATTCAACAGAAAACATATTACACTTGTGATTCATTCACAATGAACATAAAATATTTATTAAAAGTAGGAAGACATTCAAGAAGCTCACTTAAAAAAAAAAATCAAAACTGCCTACACCCATACAGAACATAAAGGTAACAACTGGAACTTTGACCCAACTCAATTTGTCCTCAGGTGAAATTATTTGTACTAAAATGAGCCCATCAGAACTAACCTAGAACAATGTTTCATGGATGCAGTGGTGGGCACTAAATTTCTCCCTTGCGCTTTAGGGATTTTACACATTTTTTTCAAATGATGTGCGGATTTGCACTTACTAAATTTACAATTGAGTAGCGCTTATTGCAAATATCGCTACAAGTTTGATCGTCAGTATTGTCTAAGAAAAAAGGAGAGAGACATTTCAACTGACTACACTCTGTAGCATTACATCTTATTTATGTTTCGTCATCATTTTCTTGAATATTGGTGGGGAAAGCCGTTTCCTGTTAACTCAACGGAGCTCCACTGTGTGGAAACAGAGACCCCTCAGGCTTCATTGTGTTCACAGAGCTTTATACTCTCACTGACTCTCCTTCTGTGTGACGGTTTTGTAGAGTTCCCACAATTCTTTGCGTGGCAGGAAGCAATTGGAGCTGAGTGACAAACAATATCCAGCCATCAATATTGTGGTTTATATACGTATATGAGCTTTGGGAGGACAGAGAGAGGATTTATAATTTACGTCCCGCTGTTCACATCATATTGAAGCTCACACGAAACAGTTTAAATTCATGCTTTTTGAAATGAACGTGTTCCCATTCATCCTGTAGGCTACCCAGAATAAATCGCTTCAGTTTTAAAATAAACAGTTTAAAATTACTAATTTACAGCGGGTAAAATAAGTATTGAACACGTCAACATTTTTCTCAGTAAATATATTACTAGAGGTGCTAATGACATGAAATTTTCACCAGA